TTTTATATCAGGTTGTAATTTTACATTTGAATCATGACGATCATGCGAATTAGGAATGATTTCATTTGTTTTTTAATGCCAAGACATATAACGTAATTCGTCGAGTATCAACAACCACGTTAGCTCACTCGATAACCATATTTCCTGTTTAATATTAATAACATTTTCAGCCTGTAACGCTTTACCACGTTATGGCCGAATGTAATTTCCAGAGAAAATGTAATCGAAACGCAACCCAGGCGACCATGCAATGGATTATTCAGAAGCGAAGCATTGCAACGGGATTTACATGTTTCAAAAGCAACATTTACCTGCCACCCTCTGGTTCTTCGCAATTTCGTATTCTCCCTGTCCCAGTTCAAACCATTTTGCTTACAGTACCGTACCATAAATACATATATACATAGGTCACCATATTCGTTATACGAAAATTACAAGAGAAATTTCATCGCGAAAAAAAAAAGAAGAAATCAATTATGTAGGCCTACTCGCACCGAAGCAAAAAAGAATGTTTTCTTTCAGACGTCGAGGAAATAAGTAATGAAAATAGAATGCGAGTAAGCGCGCCTCTTCCAGGTGTGAAATTGTCAAAGAAAGAAGCCCGCTTGGGAAATTCGATTACTACTTCTAGAAGATGACCTTTTCCTTTACCGTCTGGCATGATGACCTTCTTTCATCTCTTCTTTACCATGCCCTTTGTCTTCTCGTGGATTCCACACTAATTCTAATGGATATCTTTGTAGTTGACACAGGGATCTTAAGATTAGGGTGTATTTTGAAGTAGAAGTAAGGAACGCATAAGGCTCAAGAGCAGACTAGGAAATCAAAGAAGGATGTTTTTACTCAATGATAACATGTTTTCTCGTACGACACAACCTGGACAATTATTTTCAGCGCAACCTCAGGAACCTTACTGCAACAAGCTTTTTATTCCTGACGATCACAGACCTCAGTAGGCGGAAAAAGCGAATCCAAGAAAAGAATTCGTTTATCTTGAAGTAAAGTAAGTCGCTCTTATCAACTCGTTGGTAAATGGTAACGAAGTATATTTTTCCCCGAAAAATATCAATGGCAAGATACACTTTGGATGCTTTTCAGAATTTATGCATGATGGATATAGATTTAATGTTCAAAAACCTTCACCGAGACCCTTTTGAGTAAGATACGTAAATAAAGAAAGTAGGCGTGCGCGATACCGTTTATCCGTCTAATCTGGAGTCTTCTAGATGAAAGGGAGGAAGAAAACAAAGAAAACGAGAAGCACGTGGGCGCACTGAGAAAACAGAGCTATATTTTTTCCAAGTCCGTCAATTTCCGTGCGCAGCCAGTGATTAATGCTTCGAATCCACTGCGTTTCCCTTTCTCTCTTTCTCAACCACACCGACGAGCTTTCCTCAGTTAATTTCTCGCTTTTCCGCCGAAGCTTTGCTGCCCTCGTGTGAAAACATCGGGAGAGTTATTAGAGGAGTTTCTTGCCCTACGTATGGCATATCACGTGTGTACACACGAAGAAAACCTTTATGTCTATGACTGTTGGGACAGGTGGTGAGTCAACGTCCAAACCAACAGAATGAACCCCTTGCACTATTCGGAATCTCGGGAAAAGTCAGGCCAAACGTGGCTGTCTCGATTGTCGCGGTGAAAGGCAAGCGGTGGAGCGCGCGTGCCGAAACTTGAGACCTATTCTTACGACCGAGCGCTAAGTAAGACCACGAGTCAGACTCGTGATATTCATGTTCGACCTGAAATGTCGAGTACGAGTCAAGCTCGTGATATTCATGTTTGGTCTGGAACTAAACAATGTTTGGCCTAAAATTTTCATCACGAGTCAGACTCGTGATATTCATGTTCGACCTGAAATGTCGAGTACGAGTCAAGCTCGTGATATTCATGTTTGGTCTGGAACTAAACAATGTTTGGCCTAAAATTTTCATCACGAGTCAGACTCGTGATATTCATGTTCGACCTGAAATGTCGAGTACGAGTCAAGCTCGTGATATTCATGTTTGGTCTGGAACTAAACAATGTTTGGCCTAAAATTTTCATCACGAGTCAGACTCGTCAAAATAGTGCAAGGGATTAATTAAACCGTCGTTCAAAGAACAACGTGATGCCGCCTGGAATGAAAATGCTTTGGCAATTTGTTATATATACAAACTTAGCGACGCAGGAACGTCAAGTTCACGTCTACTTTCGACATACCTGTCAATCGATGACATCAAAAGGCAGTACGTTATATTATATTTTTTAATGTAATCCATCTAGCATTATTATTTCCTAACTGTCTGAGGAATATTGACTGACTGACTAGTTATCTAAACTATGTAATTTTTTATAAAAAGAAAGGTATTATCTTTCCTCTCGGATAATAGCCTGAGGCCCTCGAGCGATGACGGAGCCTCCGATGAGCAGTCTTGTAGCTACGCTGGGCTATTGTTGAGGGAAATTCGATACTGAATTAGTAGCAGGGATTTAATTAATGTTGTTCAGGCATTGCGTTCGCGTGGATTTCGAAAATCAATAACACGTACTTACCAATGCCTATGTTACACGTGCACCTTGTCGTTTCGACCGAGCTGCAGGTACGTGAACGTTTCGAAAGAACAATAAATTTGATTTCATGAAAAATTGTGAAAATCATGATCAACAACGATATCCCTAAATTTATGTGTCTTAGCAATTTATCGATAACGAGCTTTATCGACTTTTGAAAATTACGTAACAGCAACGAATAAAAATTTTCAAATACGATATCGCAGGAATGAGAGCAAACGGGCCTATAAACACAGGACTTTCAACAAGCATATCCCCTTGTGCTTTCAGTCACGCGATGTAATAAGTCTTTCATACTGTTGCTAAATTGACTTTATTCATGAATGTGCTTTTGGGTTGTTGCGTTTCTGTTAAAAGGAGTACTTTGATGATCGGTTGCAAAACATTCACCTGTACTATAGATCTTAATATTTGAATGAACAGACCCTTTAGAAATATATCTTAAGAATATTAACGGTACCACTTGAATGTCGGCTTGAACTGGAAGTTACTTTTCTACGAATTCCTTCGAAAATTGCTAAAGTCACTTCTCGTATATGCGAACCCCAGAGATGGCGCATAATCTTTTTGCAAAGCAATAGCACTGCTATTACTCGAAGGGATTCTTGTTCGTATATGTACAGAGAGAGAGAGAGAGAGAGAGAGAGAGAGAGAGAGAGAGAGAGAGGGGGGGGGAAGAGGGAGAAGGAGAAGGTACGCGAGATAGCAGGGAGAAAGAATGAATTCGCGATTTTCCAAGGTAGTAAGTAAACCTCCATTTCTACTTGGCTACTGACCCGTAGCGAAATCTCTCTATGCTCGTAATAATCAAATAAAAGTTACGGTGTCTTTATGAAGATAGAGCTGTAAACCTGGATGAGATTGGGGGAAGTCATTGGACTTCGAGGCTAAATAAAGTAACCCAAATCCAAGATCAATCAAGCTATCAATAATAATGGGGATCGTACAGAAATAAAGATGAAATCGTGAAAAAATTAATTTTTCATGCTTTCATCGAAAATGGTGACAAGAAATTGTCACGATATTCTGGGATGGTACGAGATTAGATTTTATTTTATTTTTTCAAGGCAGTAGTCATGCCGGATGAAAATTACGATAAACTCAAACCCTAAGGTTACGGACTGCTCGTCCTACGACATGGTCAGGGATTGATGCGACCGGAAAATAAACTCACCCTCTACTCGCCATTACATTCTTTGGGTTGCCGCTGGCCGCTGCTCCATTTTTTTTTTACTGCCTCAGGATATTTCTAAAATAGAATATAGTGGCGGGCGGGGGGGGGGG